CTCACTGCAGCACAAATGTGGGAAGGATTTCCTTTTTTGAAAACCATGCTTTATAAGGATTCCACTAAGAGGTCCATTTAGCAGGGCCAAAATCCTCTTGAGAAAGAAGAATTAGGCATTCATTCTAACACAGACACAAAATGGGCAATAATAGAAATGGTAATTTTTCTAAAATCAAAGATATCATTAAAGGAATGTTACGTTCTAAAAGGGTAGAGCAAAATTTAAAGACCTAGACATTTGACAACTTTGACCCTAATCAGGATTACTTCCTTGTTATTATTTGCAACTTAAACTAATCTTGATTTTATTTCCAGTTTTGTGTAGGTGCGTAACTTTTTCATTTACACTCAATATATGTTGGCTATAGAGCTCTTCTGAAACCTCTCTACATTGTTTGGTATTAAAAGATCTTTCGACTTCTTATAGCGGATACTTTTTCCTCTCCTGAGCCCAAGTGAGTGTACTTTGCCATCTGAGGCTGTTTGGACTAATTAAAGGGCTCCCCTTGTCCGCCCTTTTGGCCTTCTAGGTGACTAGGAAGGCCTGCTGCTGCTTCTCATTCCTCTGGATTGTAGCTTATCATGAAGCAGAAGCACACATCCATATTAACAATATGAAATTGATATCACTACTGTATTCCAATGAAAGGAGTCATTTCCGGAGGAGAAGGGGGAGGAGGGGGAGGAGGAGGGACAGAAAAAGGTTTTCTCTCTAAAAGTAATCTGCAGCCACTAGATTAAGGAACGCTTTTATTCTAAAGCAATGGCATTTTCCTTAGCCTCTGAAATTGTCTTCAGCTATTACCAACTGCATTGACAAAGTTTCTTAAAACAACTTCCTTTCAAAACTTGCATCTCTACTAGACGAAACATTTTTTAAAACATACTTCAAATAGAAAACATCTGTTTTTAAAAGATAGCTTTAAAGTGCTTTCACCACTTTCTTAAAGATAGTTATTAGAGTATCCATCCCTGTCTACAGAATTCCAATTTTATTTATTTATTTATTTTTAAAGAGACAGCGGGACAGAGAAAGTGAGCGTGTGTGCAGGGAAGGGTGGGAGGGGCAGTGGGAGAAGAAGAGTTTGAGAATCTCAAGCAGGCTCCACACCCAGCACAGAGCCCAGCAGAGTGGGGGCAGAGGTTGGATCTCACGACCCTGAGGTCATGGCCTGAGCCTAAATCAAGAGTCAGACATTTAACCGACTGAGCCGTCCAGGCATCCCCAGAATTCCAATTTTTAAAAAAAGTACCCTTCCTCCAGTTTTTCCACACCCTACCTTTATTGGGGTCAGCCCATGAAGAAAGGGAGATTTAGATAGGCAAAAGGAGAAATGTGTTGAGGTTATATTGAACACAGTAAAAAAGAATTAATATTTTTCCAATAAAATGGGGCGCCTGGGTGGCTCAGTCGGTTAAGTGTCTGCCTTCGGCTCAGGTCATAAGCCTGGCTCCTAGGATCCAGCCCTGCATGGGGCTCCCTGCTCAGCGGGGAGCCTGCTCCTCTCTCTCCCTCTGCTGCTCCCCCTGCTTGTGTGCTCTTTCAATCTCTCTCTCAAATAAATAAAATCTTTAAAAAATATTTTTTTTCAATAATTTTGAAATGTGTTACTATTTCATTCTATATCAAACTCAGCTCCTAGCACTGCCCTATTTTTGGAATACAGTTTTCATGATTAATAGAAGAGGGAATTAAGAATCTTTATTTCTCATTTCTATTTTTATTTTTTTAAAAGGTCACTTTAAAAGCACCCCACAATGTAACTGATGTCCCATGGTCTCTTTCTTTAAAAAAAAAAAAAAAAGCACAATTTTGTGCTTTTTACAAAATAAGGCATTTTAGTGGAGAAACAAACAGGAGTTAATTCGATCTTTATCTTGAGACTCTCCCCCTTGAAATTTCATATGCTGTTCATTCAGTCATTTGTTCCCATATCTTCCATTTGCTTACTTAACGTATTTATTTAGCATCTACTATGTGCCAGCAGTATTTTAACTGACTGGACAAAAATCAAGAACAAAAGAGACAGGATCTCTTTCTTCCTGGAGTTTAAAGTCCAGCTGGGAAGATAGACATTCAACAAATTAATAATAATTTAAAAAAGCTATAATAGAACTGTACAACACATAGTGAACCTTACATAAACCATGAGCTTTATTTAATAATGATGTATCAAATATTGGTTCCTGAATTGTAACAAACACACCACCCTAATGGAAGATATTAGTAATAGAGGAGGAAACTGTGTGTTATGTTGCCATATGGGAACTCTGTGTATTTTGCATAATTTTTTGTTATCTGCTCTAAAAAATAGTCTCTTAATTAAAAATAATTTTTAATAGCTCTAAAAGATAAGCAATTTAAAAGAAATAAACAGGATGCTATTAGAAGGAATAGTGGGGGTGACATAATTTGGAGTGGGGAGTAAGGAAAGACCTTTCTAGAGTTAAGGCCAAAGCTAGAGAATAAGTAGGAGCCAGCCAGGCAGAGAAGAGAAAGAAGTGCATTCTTGGTAAAGCAAAGTGGTATCATTTGAACTACCTTTCAAAATATTATTCTGGCTTCTTGGTGTAGGATGGATTGTGGTAGTGCGCATGAGGGTTTAAGAGTACAAAGGAAAGGAGTTAGGAGGAACTTAGAGTGGACCATAGCTTTAATTACCTACTCAGAGGAGCAGTGACAGTAGGATTCTTTCCTTTGCTCAGCTTATGCCAGAAACCATTAGGTTCTCCATGAGCTGCAGACTAGGAAGAAAGGAGACTGTCACTGGCAGCAAGACAGGGTTCCCAGGTCTCAATTCCTAAGATCTTTCTAGTGACTTAATGGGATTTTTAGCGTGAGGAACAATCGTCTGTGTGTGTGTGTGTGTGTGTGTGTGTGTATTTGAGACTACAGTCAGATGAGAATTACAATGGAAAACAAGACTTCCAAGTACTAACTATCCATCTGTAATAACAGATTTTCAAAGAAGTCTATATATGATTTAATTTTCAATAGTTTTCTATTCCCACTACTGGATTGTTGGAATTAATTTTATTTTTTGTTTCTTTTAAGGCTACATGTTAAAAAAACTGTTGATCAGTCAACAAAAAGGATACTTAAGGAAGGTCTATTTGGGGTGCTGTTTTAGTACATGAGTATTGAAAGGTTTTTTTTTATCAGAGTTCTTAGGGGTGGTGAATTCCGAAGGAAAAAAATTCTAGTGGGTAAAGGGAAGTGTCTACCAGTGATAGATTTCTACTGATACTGGAACTGTTATTAGTAGCGTGGAAGCTCAAATAGTTTGAGGTCTTATTTCCATTTGAAAGTAAGCAGCTCTGCAATTACATAATCCATTTCATCATTTGTAACCTTTACCTGCCTCTGTATGTGCACTGGAGATGTGCAAGGCATTAACTATTTTTATACATTTGTTTTGCAGCGGAGAAATTGTATATTATAGTTGTACGTTATATATAAGGAGATTCGATACCACTTCGAAAAATCTTTAGCAAATGAGCATGCATTTCATAGTACTTATCTAATAATGATAAAAAATGGCAAATATGCCTATCTAACTAGAGTTACAGTTATTTATTTTTTTGGTATTCATGGAAACACAAACACTTAATCCCCCATTTGAGCAGACTTGTTGTTTATTTTAGGACATATAAGTGCATCATCAATGTTATTTTAAGTAGTCCAGTTATGAATATGGGATGAAGGGATAAAATAAAGTTTTCCACTCTGATGTCTCCATTAAGAAGCTCCTCTTTGTGTAAAATACTCCGTGGCAAAGTTGCTCCTATTTAAAGTAGTGAGTTTGATCTTGGCTTTGATCTAAAGCTTTTGATCTTGAAAGAAGGATGGAGTAGCAATAAAGAGAGGGCAAGACAGATTTTCTTTAAAGAAATGCGATAAAGTTAAAGGGATGGTCAAGATCAACAAATACGAGTGCGACCCAACTGTTCTCCCCAAGCGTTCACCCCCTTTCTGGTTCAGCCAACTTCTGATACGGATGGGAAGAAAGCCTTTTGGGTGTCGGCGGAAAAATCTGGAGCATCGCAGGCTTTTACAAACCAAGTGGAAACTATCCCCCTAATTATGAAGACAGAATGTCTCCTTTTAAATTCTCCCCAGTCGCTGTGGGAGTCCGCGGGCAGGGCGCGTGCGGCGCCGACCGCGCTTACTGAGAGCGCACGGGCTCCGTCGAGGCGCGGGCGGTGCGCGGGGCTCGCCTTTTACGCGCTCCGGGTTTCTCCCCCGGGAGGTCACCTGCCACCGCCCCAGAGTCCGGAGGGGCCACTGAAAAACGTCTCCTTAATGGCGTCTAATCCATTCCCGGAAAAAAGCCCACTAGGAAAGTTCCTTTCCGCTCCGCGAAGGCCATCTGGACACTTAGGTTTCTGACCCGAGGAGCGAGTTCGGCTGGCCGCGGGGGTAGGGGTGGGGGGGCTTCTCAAGCTAAGCCCTTTCGCTTGCGGCCGGGCAGCGCTCCTGCTCGCACCGCGGCCGAGAAACCCTTTCGCGGGTCCCGACGGGTCCGCAGGGGATGGGGGCTGGAAAGGTAAGGCATGTGCGCTCAGGTCGGTCCGCGCGTGGGAGGGCGCGGGAACGCGGGCGGGGCGCGGGGAGACGAAGAAAAACGTTCGGAAAAAGAACAATAAAATAGCCGGCGCGCCGGCGGGGGCTGTGGCGGGGGCGACCTGCAGGGAGGACGGCGCGGCCGCCTATACCTTTAAGGCTGGCCCCGCCCCCGCCTCAGTGCCCGCCCTCCGCCCGCGCCGCCGCCCCGCCGCCCGCGCTGCGCCTTAGGTGTTGCGGGCCCCGCGCGCCCGCTGCTCTCCGGCGGGCCGGCGGAGGGCGGCGGGCGCTGGGCGTGGGCGGCGGGGCCCTCGCTCCCACCCTCACCTTCCGCGGGCGAGGTAGTGGGTCAGCGCGCCGAGTTGGTGGGGCGCCGGGGAGGGAGGCTGGGGCGGCTCCCGGGGTAAACTTGACTCTTTCCCCTTCCCCCGCAGCCGCTGCAGAGGGAGCGCCAGGCCGGGGCTGAGTGCGGGCTCGCGCGGCAAGTGAGCGCCGAGGTGAGTGCGGGAGGCGCGCTCCCCGCGCTCCCCTCCCTCCCCTCCCTCCTTCCCTCCGGGCGGTGGGTCGGGCGCTGCGGACTCCCCGCGCGCCGACGCGCGACAGCGGTGGGTAAGATGGCCCCGTTCGGGGGCTCCGGCGCGCACTGGCGCGCGGGTGGCCGACCGGGCCGGTGACCGGAGGGAGCGGCCCGGGCGAAGGTCAGGGCTTCAGCACGCCGTACACCCGCGCGTCTCTTGGGTCCCCGGCGCTGAGGCCGCCCGGCGGGCCCGGAGGTGCTTGGGGCTTCCCCAGGTGAAGCCCTGGAAGGCTGCGTCGCCAGGCCGTCGGTCGTTTCTGTCTCACGCAGAGGGATGGCCCTCACGACCCGTCGTCGTGTTTAAATCGCTCTGTGGTTTTTGAACTTCAGGTCGAGAAATGGATTCGAGTGAACCGGAGACCCCGAAAACGGAAACGAAGGGAGGCTGAAGAAGTGTTTGAAAAGGTAGGGTCCCCGAAAGAGCACTGGGTGGAGTTCTTGAGAAATCTCCCCCTACGCCCCTGAGGACTTGGTCGTAACAATAGAGTAGTAGTTTTTAAGTTTTAATTAAATGTACAGTAAGTCGTAAAATGATGTGGATGGTTGTACAGAAATATTGGTTGATAATCTCTGATAATCATGGACATAATATATTCTCAGGAAGTAAGAGAATGGCTCGCGATGGAGATATGTTTCATGCTCATTAAATAGAGCAATAGGACATAAGCGGGTTCCATTATTATATTAGACCCGTTAGTAGTAGTTATGCAGTTGTTAAGGTACCTCTAAAAAGGGGGGGGTGTTCTGAAATTGCCCACAATATCAGGTTTCTCTGTTTGGTTGTGATAGATACAGTAGCACGCTCGCTCGTTTAGCCTTTAGACTTTAAATTAGAGTAATCTTAAAAATGGAGGGAGATGAAAGAAGTGGATTTCTTTTGAAACACTAGGAGGCATTTTATTTACTGTAAAGCCAAATGAGAAATTTGTTTTTCTAAATTTAGAATTTCAGTATGTTACTTTGCAGAAGTTTGGACTACCTATTTTCCCCTGAAATTGTGTTAAATTAAAACTTGATTTGTCATTGTAATAAATAATTATGAAATAAGGTAAGTAGTATGTTGTTTCTGAATAATGTTTTACCAGTGTTACAGCAGATAGGATTTTTGTTGCGTTTACTTAATTACTGTACTGTTTCTTGATTCTTGATAGCACCAAGGGATTAAAATAGATGTGTGTTGTTTTTCTGCTGCTAGAATGTATGATGAATCACTCCTGATTCTGAAGCCAAATTCTTGCTGATAGCATTGCTGCCAACTTCTCTGATGTGTTGCCTTAGTATGGGCATTGCAGCGTCCGAGAATGTGCACAAAGCACATCATAATGAAGGTGATTCCAAAGTTTCAGAGTGCATGTAAGGATACCAAGGACAGCTTCTAAGAGAATTGGGAAAAGAACTGGCCTAGGATCCTGGTCATTTGTAGGGAGACAGTCAGTGAGGAGTGGTACTCCAGCCCTTACCTTTTTAAACAGTCATATCTGTCACTTGAGTTAAACAGTAATAGAAAAAGGTTTCATTTTGAATAGACTTGAGTTTTCTGACCATACCTCGGCATGCTATGGTAGGTTGTGTTTGTTTAACTTTCATGCTCCAGGTGTTTTAAAAAATGTCTGTGAGGTGATGAATGAGATCATAAAATGTCCAAAGAAGGAAGAAGTTTTATGGCTTGTTTAGCATTTCAAAAAAATATTTTCTAGCTATTATTTTTTAAGCCAAAAGATGATGACCCAAATGCACAGTATGTCAGGCATGAATGAAGAGAAGCCCTTACCTTTGTGGATTACTAGCTACCATCACCCCCAAAATCTGAACTTGAAGTAACCACATGTGTGACACCCATGATCTGACCACTGCCTTCTGAGAATGAGAAGGAGGGAACTGAGGATTTCACCTCCCAAGAAAATGGGGTTCTTCACTGAGCCTTTCTTCTCGATAGAGGCTTAGAGGTATTAGAGCTTATGAGCAGGGCGCACGTTTGACTTTTCTTAGAAAATGCGGGCAGCAGTTTTAAAGAGGACACAAATAAAGTAGGTTGGGACCAACAAGCTGAACTTCCTTTCAAGGACTGAAGCTCAAAGCTGACTAGCTTTGAGGGGGAGGTGGAGAGGGCCAGAAGTTGGGACATTTCAGAATTGGATCAGAGAATATTAATTATCAGTGTGTCTAATCTTTCTTCCTGGCTCTGCATGGCAGCCAAGCCCTTTGCCCACTATTTTGCCTCTGTTGCACCCAGGAAAGGGTTTGGAGCTCGCTGAGGCAAAGCATGCGGTATTTTCAAGGGCAGGGTGAGAGGGAGTGTAATCAGTGACCAAGGGTATTAGAACAAGTTCTGAAAGGCTCAGAAGCCACCCTGCAGCGGGTAGCCAAGGTGCCATACCCCGATTGCCCGAGTGTCTGTCCGAAATACAGAGTGAATTCTGTGTGGTAATGAGTATTTAAACCCAGGTCATGTGTTAACCTTTTGCTATGATTTGACCTGTTATTAGTAGGAACCTCAGTAGTTAACTCGCTGTTGAGTTTCATAAATGTTCTTAAATGTCTACCATGCCATAAGTAGAAGCAAATGAACCTAATTTTTCCTTTTTAACGCATCCACTATCTTTTTTTTTTTACAACATTGAAATAAAACCTATGGTATTTTCAGCTTTTATTCATTTTCTGTTACTGTAACGTAAGAAAATGAGTTTTAGTCATTTCTGGTAGGCATAATTTTAAGTCTGCCCATTGCCTTTATTTGCCTACTTTGTTTTGTTTGCCCCACTTCTCCCGCACGCTGCCCTTCCTCCATCCCCCCAGTCTCTGTTTATATCTTTCAGGCTCACGCAGGATTCAGCCCAGATGACTGAACTTGGTTAACTAGTCTGTGTTTAACTGTGGGAGGGTCGGGACATTTTTTTCTCCAGTATTTACTGACTTGTGGAAAGCAGAGTTGTCTGACCTGCCTGAGGAAGGAAAACAGCAGCAGTGCAAGGCCAGAGTCTGGAAGTGGGAACGGGCGAGGAATTATAGGTAGTGAATGTGATCTTACAGGAGATATTTATTTTCCCCCTTAAAGAAAATCTCGAAGGTGCTAAGTGGTCGGCACAGCCTGATCTATGGGTTGAGTTTTTCAGTGCACTCAGAAGGGGAAGCAAAACAAAACTTACCCCATTCTCAGCTATGGGTTAAAATAACGAATAATGAAATAAAGTAAACTGGGGTGAGTGAGAGGTACCACCCGGAGAAGTGATTTAAAATGTTCTCCTGGCCTTTTCCTGGCTCTTCTGCTTACTGTTCAAGTCCTCCCGCCCCACCAGGTAGCTGTGTGGTCTTACAGGTTTTAGCTCTCCTCTTCCTGAAGTTACATCGGTCTGCCTGACACATCTTTTGTCTTCTCTGACATTTACTTTCATTTTATTTTTCTCTTCACATCTTCACCCCCCTTCCACTGGTGCAACTCAACTCCTTCCTACTGGTTTCTGTTTCCTTCATTTCAAATGACAAAACTCACCTCTCTTTTGCCTCTGGTCCTCAGGTGTTTTCTTCTTCCATTCTGATAGTCTTTCTTCTTCAGTTATTTCACATTCCTTTCCTTTAGTTTGAGTAACTTGTGCAATAGAAAGGCAAGGAGAACATGAACAACCACACAAACAGCCGGGGGGAATGGATCGGCCTGCTCTTTGAGGGGTGATGAGACAGTGGTGGTGGCAGCAGCCAACTATATGGTGTCTATTTTTAAAAATAATGTTAATAGATGTTGCTGAATGGCTGTTGGTTTTGGAAGAGGAACATAATTTTTTTTCTGCTTTTATCTCTAACCGATTCAAAGATAAATGCAAATTACCCATCACTTTCAAAGATGAAGGGATAATATACTTTTATAAATATACATGAAATACAGAGTTCTTAAATAGTTTTTTTAAGGGTTAGTAATACTATAGTATAGAACAATAAATAGTATATTGGGGATATGAATGAGGTAGGATTCCTTTAGAAGAAGAAAATGCCGGTTTTCAGATTCAAAAGAGATACCTGAAATCCTGCTTTATGCATATGTGATAATGTACAGAGAATAAATTTTAAGATACTCATTTCTGGTCATCAACAAGTATATATGATGATGTCACAACTATGCATTGGCAAACTTTCAAACACTGAAAAATCAGGAATACTAGGGTTGGCTATTATTATTAATAACCCATCCTTTACGTGTGATAGTTTCCAAGCTAGTGGTCTTGGCGAGAGTGAGTGTCTCGGCCTGTGTTACGGTGAGTCATAAGCAACAGTAGGTACAAACGGTTTCTAACAAAAGCACCCTTTAAGGTAACCTAATTGTTCTTTTCTGCCGGAACCTAAAAAACAATATTCTATAGCATGAAATTGTGAAAAATTTTATGAAGTTTTCCTTGAACTATGGAGCGAAACATACAAAGATTTAGAAAGATGGTTGTGAAATGTGAACTTTATATCGTATTTAATGGCCATTTTAGTTGAAGCCAAATGATAAATTCTGTTTTCTGAGTCTTTGAGAAAACAAACACGGGCACTATTTTCTTTGTGATAATATGCTTCTTAGATTCTGGAGCATTTTTTCTCACTTTTATTTCATTTGCCCTTTCCGTTCGTTTGATTCTGAACTGCAGTGATAATCTTGGTATGAGTAATAATTTACACATTTAAAAAATTGTGAATAAAACCCAATTTGGTTTATGAATTGCCCCATTTATTGTTCCTTTTTAAATTTTTATATGTTCTAAGAAAATGCTTTTATTACAATTCTTATATTGAAATATTCAACATGCTAAAGGTAGGTACAAATTTTAAACTATTTAACAAAGTGCTTTACTGCTGTTTGTCTTCTGTGACAGAGGTCTGTTTTATATTAAGTTTATGATTTCTGGAAAACTATTTAAGACTAATAAAAATTATCTGGCTCTCAGTTGGACCTGTAACAGCAGACGGTGACGGTGTTAGGCTTGAGTCTGGAGCCGTCAGGATACAAAGCTTGACAAAATGGCACAAGATGAATTTAGAGAGGGCTGAACCAAGGGTCCCTTCACTTCATAGGAACTACGCCACATTCAGCAAAGTGGTAGGCTTCAGGCAGCCACTCTTACGCAACTGAGGCGGCATTGGTGTTGAGTGGTTTCCCAGGCATTGGTGCCCTTGCTTCTTTTCGAAAATGCTCCTGCCCTGTGAGAATTCATAACTAGTCTACATTTATATAGCTGTAATCTCTGACAATAGCTTCATTGATACTTGATCTCCATAGAAAAGCTTTATGGGTTCTAATGAGTCACTGCTCTTGAGGCACCAGCCGCCCTCCCTATCTGTGAGTGGCTTTGTGTCCTGTGTTGTACTGATTGTGCCTTTGGATGACAACTTACTTGAGTGATGGGGAGAGGCAGCGTAATTTATTAAAAGTA